TCCCGGACCGTGGCAGCGGGCGGCGGCGGCGGCGGCGGCGACGGCGGAGCAGCAGCCCTGCGCGGGCCATGTCTTCTCCGGCCGTGGCGAGGGCGTCCCCGGGCGGGAATCGGGAGGCGGCCGGCGGACCGCGGAGTCGGGACGGGCCGTGGGAAGTGGGCGGCGGCGAGCGGCTGGAGCGCGCGGGCGCGGAGCCGGGGCGCTGGGAGCTGCTGCTCCGCCGCGGGGAGCTGCTGGCGCTGGGCGGCCACCTGAAGGGAGCGCTGGAGGCGTTCGCGGCCGCGCTCCGCCGCGGGGCCCCGGCCAGGCCCGAGCGTCTCGGCTCGCTGGTGGACTGCCTGGTGTTCAGCTACCGGCTCCGGCACGGGCTGCGCTGGAGCGCGGCGCCCGCGGCGGGCGCGGCCGGGCTGCTCAGCTGCCTGGGCTGCCGGGGCTTCCTCAGCGAGCCGGTGACCGTGCCGTGCGGCCACAGCTACTGCCGCCGCTGCCTGCGGAGGGAGCTGCGCGCCCGCTGCCGCCTGTGCCGGGACCGCCTGCCGCCCGCCGCCGCCGCCGCCGCCGAGGGGACCCCGAGGCCGCCGCCCCTGGCCGCCGCCATCGCGGACTTCCGAACGAGCGTCGTGCTCAACCACCTGGCGGAGAAGTGGTTCCCCGGCCAGCGCGAGCGCGCGCGGGCGGCCGGCCGCCTCGGGGAGCTGCTCCACCAAGGGCGCTACCGGGAGGCCCTGGCCGCCGCCTGCGACGCCCTGCGAGCAGGTGATGCGGGGCTGCGCGGTGCGGGGCCGGGCGCGCGGGGACCTGGAGGGTGGGAGGGGGCGGCGCCCCGGGGTGCTTCGGTCACGGTGGGGATCGCCCGGGAGCCGCGAGTGACGCGGCGCGGGGAGGGGCGCGGACGTGAGGTTCCCTCGTGCGCGCGCCGAGCGGGTACCGGGGCCGCGGAGCTTGGGCGCCGGGTGGGTGGGGGCGGCGGGCTGTCCGCGGCGCGCCGTCCGGGAACCCCGGGCGGGGTGGGGCGAGCATCCCCGGGCGGGCCAGGCGGGGCTCGGAGGGACCGCGTCTACCTTGGTCTTGCACTAAAGTCACCGGGGCAATTGGAAGCCGCGGGAGGGCAGAATTGCATAAGCTGGGTGTGTGTGTGGGGGGGGGGGGGGGGGCGTTGTATAACGGGTGACGTTCGGTGGGCGTGGCGGGAGTCCGGCGCGGGCACCGGCACCCGGAGGCCCAGCGGCTCGGAGTTAGTGGCCGGCTGCCCCAGAGGTGGTCACCTCTTACCTGCGGGATCGCTCGCTCCTGGAACCGCCAACTGCCTGTCTCACACACGGTCTGCTCCCGTAGAGCTCTGAGAGGGTTCCTGCATACCCCTGGTGTTGGTAGAGAAGTGGCTTCCCAGGAGGAGTTAGCGGAGCTGTGAGGGGAAGCTTTGTGGGTCTTTTGTTTATATTTCCGTCTCCAAGAAGCAGCAGCTCGGTCCTCAACTCCTGGTTCGAAAAGGGGTCATGCAAACACAGTAAAACCAAGAGTTCCCTCTTAGGTCCTTGAACTCAGTTGTGCTCTATGGGGCCGGGAGACTTACCCGGGGCAGTGGTGGGACTTACAAACTGGAGATTTTACATCAGGGGACCTTTTCTAGAAAAGTGTCTGTAGACATCTTTGAATGGCCACCTCAGTACGGACATCTAGTGGCCCTTCCAAGGATGCTGCTAACCATTCTGAGACTCACAGCCTCCTACAGGAAAGACTGATCAGGCCCAAAGGTCAACAAGATCACTGTTGGTCACCTGGTGGTGGGCATGCTTTGTGTCTGTTACCTGCCATGAGAAATGACTTATGGGATTAATCCCTGGGGAATCAGTAACACTGAGAATATGAGCTGATTTTAGGTGTTAGGTAAACTATAAACTTGTACCTGAAATTAGCATCTTGTGAGTCTTTTAGTCATCCTGAACAAGCGACAGTAGCTTTAGTCATACCCCTCTGGCACGTTCTCATTTTCTTCCTTTATCTTCCTCAGCAGACACTAATAAACTAGAATGGTAAACCCAGAACAAAAGGATGCCTTGGAATCCACAGTTTTGCTGGGGATGGCTCTAGCTATCTTGGTGAATAAATTTGAGTAGGGAAGCTGGACCGGGCTGTGTCAGTCATCCAGTAACTGGCTGTGGTCTGACTTTAACGGGGAAGCTGAGCTAGGACAGGTGACTTCTCCACAGTCACCTGGGTGGTGGCTTGTATAAGCAGCTTAGACCCTCCAATTTTATATGTTGACCCAGGGTTCACCTGATTCTATAGTTCATCTAATAGAAATATTAATGTATATTTCCAAGGAAAGTTTCTTTTTGTCATTAGTATATAATCGAGGACGGACCTTTAAGCAGTATTTGTTATTAGCATCTGATGTAGTTATTTGATTTGATTAAATTAACTCCATCCCATCCTGTCATGGAGAATAGTGAGTACATTTCCTAAGAGCAAAATTAACATTCTGTGCCCAGTATTAAGATTTCAGGGCTTAGACCAGGATATTATCATTAACAGAAAAAGCTGTGGATGATGAACTCTTTTTTTTTTCTTTTTGTTTCCAAGCTTCACAGACCGCATGTGAGATTGCCAAGCTACTTAATCACACTTCTGCATGACTTGAACTTGAGTCTCCTGCCTCTCACTTTGTTTCCTTATTTTTTTTCTCTTACGTGTAGGCTTGTCAAAAATCAGTAATTCCATACATGAATATGTAACTCACTGACACTAATGATAACATATTTTATCTTTTGAATTCTTTGTGTGAGATAGAAAGGAGAACAATTACAAAGCCAAACATATTTTAGTTGGTAGAGGGCAAATGTGTGTGTTTCATAATTTATGAGCATTAATAAGAGTAGGCGTATAGCTCAGGGATAGAGTGCTTGCCTGGCATGTGTAATGCTTTGCATTCCTACTTTTCAAAACAAATAACCCACCACAGTTTGTTATAAATCCATTTGTACAGTTGCTAGTGTTTTGTTTAGTTGGAGTTGGTGAGTTAGCTAGGTAAGCATTTGAAATGCATTTGTATAATTGTCTAACTATAGTTATTAACGTCTGCCATTGTATATGATGGAAAAAAAAACCTTTACTGTCATTTTTCATGTTTCTTAGAATGAAACTAATACTATTAGCAAAAAAAATAATAATAATCTAGTCTGCAGTTGGCCCACACAAAACCAAACTTATCCCCACTGACAGAAAAAGAAAGCTTGGAAACCCTTGCCAAAATCAGAATTCCCATTGAGATTACATAAGGTTCTGTTGCATTGAAATATATTTAGATAACATTTAATCCATTGATCTTTTGGTATTAACTCTCAGATGTTTCGTAACTTTCTTCTTAGTATTCAAGGAGCTTATGTAAAAGTCCTTTCTGCATTGAGTCTTTATTCTGGCATCTTTTGAACTGATCCTACTGTGGAGTGCTGCTGTCTTTTTACTCTGAAGTTTTACACTGACCTCTCTCTTTCCTGTGTTCCCCACTCTCCGAATGAAGACAGCAGAACAGTGTGATTGACAGTTTGAACTGGCAGTTTAAAAAGTCAGGTGTGTGTGTGTATGTGTGTGTGTTTATGTCAGTTGTTTGGGGAAAGAGTACATTTGTGAGGTTTTTTATGTTTTCACTTATTGATCTTTTTGCACACGCACACATACATGCCAAGGCATGCATGTGGAAGTCGGAGAACAATGTGTGGGACCTGCTTCTCTCCTTCTGTCTCAGACCTAGGAAGGTAGCAATGCCCTTACCAGCTGAGCCATCTCACCAGCCTAGTCCTTGTCTTTATCATTAATTTTATGGTTCCTGACTGTCAGCAGCTTTTTATGTGTTAGTGGATACTACAGAGACCTGGCAGGAGGACGCTGAGCCTCCAAAGCTAAGGATGTTTCAGGGCTAGTGATGGAGCCCTAGACATCGATAGCGGACTCCCTCCCAGAATCCCAGTACAGCCTCCACCCACTGGGTGGCCTGGGTATGTGGCCTGACCACTCTGTGCTCTGGTTTCCTTGTCCAAAATGTGAGCATGGTCTCTCTCTCTCTCTCTCTCTCCCTCTCTCTCAGAGAATTAATTGAGCAAAAATGTGTGAACTTCTTCAAAAACAGCCTCATACAGTAAATTTCTAGAAAATCATAGATAATTTTACAAATGTCAAAGCTTTGTTATGGTTGGATGAATTAGCTGAAACTGAAATCTAAGCCTTGTGGTTTTAAATTCAACTCCATTTTCTATATACATTAATACCAAAATAAAAGTTAAATCCTGATTGTAGTTTATACATGTCAGTTAGTAGCAGCCTGTTATATCAGTTCAGAAAAAAAATATACAGTGAATTTTTAGTTATAAAAAAGATTGGTCAAATCGAATAAATTCTGAATATGTTTAAAGAGAATGTAAAGACTTTCAGTATCTTTCACGACTCAACCAACTTAAAATGATTTCATTTTAATGTGTTTATCCCTTGTGTATTTAATGTTTTTCACTCTTATTGCACAGAGAACTCGAATATTTTCATTTCCATCATTGTATCTAAACCCACAAGACCCATGTGAGTTGAAAGGCCAGTATCAGTTTTCCTAGCCTGTGGGCTGAGAAAAAAGACCAATGTTGAAGTTAGACCTAATCAGAAAACAGATGACTTGCTTCCAGAAAGGGAGGAGATGAAAGTTCTAGCATATAAGAGATATTAACTCCTCCTCTTATTCATTCAACAAATATTCACAGAGTACCTTTGATATGTGGGGAACATATCCTATTTGTTTTAGGTTCTGGAAATACAGCAAAGAACAAGATAAAGCTCTGTTGTTACTGAGCTTGTATTGCTGGTTTCTTTAATTGTACCAATTTATTCATTCAAAACTATTTTTAAAATGGAATTTGTTAATTATTGACTCTTAATGAATTTATACTATAGCAGTCATTTAGTTAATGAGGGCCTTGAAAGGTCTTTACAATGCCATGTCACTGAAAAGACTGGTTATAATGGCAGTCTTTTTGTTGTAAAATATGGAAACGCTTATAAACATGTTCTCAGTGACCTATTTTAAATAAGTACTTCACATATTTTACCTGTCTTTAATTCATCAGATACAAAGTATACCAAAATGTACCCACTTCAGATTTATAGTATTTGTACAGTAACTTTTGATTTATTCAAAATTGTTTCTGTTTAATTGAAAGTTTGTTACTTTTAGATTTGTTTGTTATTTTTTCAGATGTGCATGTATATGTGTAAATACATGTATGTATATATATGCATCGCCTGCAGAGGCTAGAGAGTCAGGTACCCTAGCACTGGAGGCACAGGCAAAATGTGAGTTGACCAGTGTGGGTGCTAGGAACAGAACCTGGATTTTCTGCGAAAGCAGGTGGTCTTGACCGCCGAGCTGTCTCTCCAGCCTCCTCAAGTCCACCGTACCTCTGGTAAAGCATTCAGAGTTTTTGTTCTCCGTGAAAAAAAAAAATAATTTCACCAACACCAATTTTAATGCGTAAGTGAACATGTAGCATCTGGTATGATCCAGTCAGGCCTGAAACATGATTTCATGAAAAACTTCTGAAATTTCAGAACGAAGTAGCTTGTGTAGGCTTAGACCTGTGTGTTCAAGTAGAGTTTTGAAAATTGTTAAAGCCTTTTACAGAATTTATACTTCTGAAGTAAATAATATGATTTCTCCATAAATTTGTAACCAGTAAGTAACCATTTTCTTAAAATGGCAATAAAATGAGTCACCAAATAAGCATATTTTCTGATTACCAGAACATGCATAACCATTTCAAACTATCAACTTTTGAATGTTTTCTCTCAAGCACTCCAAAATGATACACTGGCAAGAGATTTCTTTCACTACAATGGATAATGTAATTAAAATACTTATTTTGTAATACAGCTGATCTATACTATTCACCCTTCCCAAGAAGTCTGAAGTTGTTAAGAATTGTGGCCCTTTCTCTTTTTCTTTCTTTCCTTCCTTCTTTCTTTTTTTTTTTTTTTTTAAGACAGGGTTTCTCTGTGTAGCCTTGAGTGTCCTGGACTTGCTTTGTAGACCAGGCTGGCCTTGAACTCACAGTGATCCTCCGGCCTCTGCCTCCCTGAATGATGGGTTTATAGTCATGCGACACCAGGCTCGGCTATGGCACTTTCTCTTAAGTAAAACCTTTTCCCTTAATGAAACCCACAGGGGCCTGGGGCAGTGAATCGATACGTACAGTGCTAGCTGCACAAGCCAGACCTGAGTTCAATCCCCAGCGCATGTGGAGAAAGCTGATCATATTAGAAAGCTGAGTAGTCACAAGGCTGGGGAGGAAGGAGGCTCTATTGTGCTTGCTGGCTAATCAGTCTAGCTACAGAAGGACGGACGGTTGGAAGGATGGAGCTCGGCAATGAGAGGTTATCAGTGTAATCAAACTGGAACCACAGTTCTCATTTCTGTGTGAAACTGTAGGTGTGGGTCTTTAAATTTGTATAAAGAAATGTGGCAACTTATAAAGCTATTCTTTGCAGATCTTCAAAAATAGTTTAGACCAGTTTTAGTTACAAGGCTTAAAATGACCACTTAAATGGTGTCCGTCATCGTAACACTTGCACTGAGAGGCCTGGCACCTTCTGTCTTTACTAGTTTCTCTATGGTTTCCACAGTCATGACTGCTGCGATCATGACTTCTGTCTCCGTTGATGAAACCGTTCCTGCCTCCATATAGACTCATGCTCCTTGTAATGCATGGCGCAGCTGGCTTGCCTGGATTCTGGGTAGGGTGACAGTTCTGCCTGTCAGTGCTGTGACAGGAGTCTATCTGGCACCATGGAGAATTTGAAGACAGGTTAAACTGTGATACCCCCACAGCTTGAGAACTGCTTACCCAGGGTCTCACGTATGCTAGGCAAGCACTGTAACACCAAGCTTTGTTTGTTTGTTGTTGTTTTTCGAGGGTTTCTCTGTGTAGCCTTGTCTGTCTTGGACTTGCTTTGTAGACCAGGCTAGCCTCAAACTCAGAGAGCCGTCTGCCCCTGCCTCCCAGAGTGCCAGGATTACAGGTGTGTGCCACCAGCAAAAAAACAAGCTTTATCGCTAGCCCCTTTTCCCTTGTTTATTTTGACAGGCATCTCACTAAGTTGCCTAGGCAGGCCTTGAACTTGAGAACTTCCTGCTTCTGTTCCTAGTAGCTGAGGTTACAGACCCAACCTACCAGCCCCAGTATCGTAAAAATAAATTTTAGGGGTGGGGTGATGTCTTAACAGGCTAACTGTAAGTGTGAGGACCTAAGTTTGAGTCTCTAGTAGAACACTCAAATAAAGCTGGGCGCAGTAGCAGGTGTCTGTAATCCTAGTGTCCCTATAGTGAGGTGAGAGGCAAAAAAACAAAACTCTTAAGAAGCTGAATGGCTCACCAGCCTGGCATATGCTGCAAAGAACAAGGGAGATCCTGTCTTTAGGTAGAGGCTGAGGACTTGATGCCCAAGGTCATTCTCTGACCTTCACATGGGTGCTGTGGCATGTACACACCTACAGCAATGCACAGGATTTTTTCTTTAAGTTTTAAAAACTCTTTAGTCTGTCTGGAGAGGTGGCTCAGCCATTAAGAGCACTGGACCAGATGATCCAGGTTCAAATCTCAGCACCCATATGGCAGTTCACAACTATCTGTAATTCTAGTTGCAGGGGATCTGACACCCTTACACAGACATACAAAAAGGAGACATTGCCTCCTTTTTTTTTTTTTTTTTTTTCTTTCTTTCCACCCACCAAGCCTAATTTGTGTGCCATGAATTGAATTCATGGATGTGTGGCCTTGTGCTAAAGCATGGTTGACAGCTGTCTTTCCCCCTTTCTTCTTCTCCCTCTCTCGCTTCCTCTCCCTCTCCCCTTTCTCCATGGAGCCCTGACTATCCTGGAACTCAGTGGGTAGACGAGGCTGGCCTAAAACTCAGAGATCCATCTGCCTCTGCTTCCTGCTGGGTTAAAAGGTGTGTGCTACGACCTTCCTTCTGGCAGCAGTCTATTAAATTTTATTTTATATTTTAAATTCACTTTGCATCCCTATCACAGGCCCCTCCCTCCCTTCTCTCCTCCTGGGTCCACCCTTTCACTCTCTTCCCTTTCACAGAAAAGGGGAAGCCCCCCTCCCCTGTATCAACCCACCCCTGTACATCAAGTCATATCCTCTTCCACTGAGGTGTGGCAAGGCAGTCCCACTAGGGGGAAGTGATCTAAAAGCAGGCCACAGAGTTTATGTCAGAGCCAGCCCCTCCTCCACCTGCTAGGGGATCCACAATGAAGACCAAACTGCTTATCAGCTACATTAGTGCAGGAAGCCTAGGTCCAGACCAGTCTCTGTAAGCCCCCATGGGCTGAGGTTAGCTGACTCTGTTGGTCTTGTGGAGTTCTTTTCATGCCCCCCACTCCCAACCCCCTGCAGCAGTCTAAAGAAAACTGATTCTCCCAGATGCTGTTGGCATCTCTCAGCTGCCAGGAGCTCCTCTCACTGCCAGTAGCCAGTGGGACTTCACATCTGCCTCTCCTTTCCGCACTGGGCTTTGCTCTGCTTGAAGATGCATGGGGCTTATGCCTGCCATCACCACCACCGTGAGGTCATATGTGCGCCTCCCATGTCTTTTTATTTAGGAAGACGTATTCTCTTCCTAAATAACTAACGTGAAACCTTAGTTCAAGGCTTTTCACTGATGTAAAATTGAGGAAACAGTATCATTCCAGTTCTCAAGCATGCTGCAGAAACTTAAAAGTGCATAATTGAGTTGTTAGAGTGGGAACTGTCTGTAGAAGAGACTTATTTTAAAACTAGAGTAAATTAAGCACTGTTGAGTTTTATTGAATGTATTTTTGGAGGCATCAGAGGTCATTGAACCCTTTTTACAATAAATGCTTTATTTTTATAAACAGTAAGGTTTCGAGGGCTTCAAGGAGGGCTCAGCTGAACCTCATCGACAGTTTGTTAAGTTTTGCTTAGACCGAAGCTATTTCTTTACCTGTAATAATTACAGTGATGGAAGAGGAGCAGTTAAGTGTCTGAAATTCCTAAAGTCATTAGATAATAGTTTGGTTCTTCAAGCATGTTCTTAGAGGACAGTGAAAATAATGGTGACCTGATTTCCCAGGACAGGTGAAATTAGATGTTTGTATTTAGCTGGTTCCCTACAAGTCCTGCTGTGGCTGGGAATTAAAGATCTGTCCGCCTACAAACTCACTCTGGTCAGTCCTTTTCTCTTTAGAATCAGGACCACTTACACTCTCAGAAGACTGAATCTTGATTGCTCCTCTGTCCCTGTAAGACCTTTTTTCTGGAGTATTTTTGATTTTATAAACAATGATTTATAGATTAAGTTTCAGGAATGAGTAATATTCTATTTCGTGTTTCAAAAAGGCAAGTTTTCTAAACATGTAAGACTTGGCTTGAAAATCTTTATAGAGTACTTTTTTTCTTGAAAAAAAAAGTAGTTATTTTTTTTTACTAGAAATTTTTTATCATAAAAGCATTTCTTTTATTCCTAATTATAATTCTTGTTACTAAAATGATCTTATGATAAAATTTATCTTCAAGTTTTGACACACAAAGTGTTGCATGAATGCTGTGCTTGGTTTATAAACTGCGATTTGGTAGTTTTTGATGGTTTATAAACTGCGATTTGGTAGTTTTTGATGGTTTATAAACTGCGATTTGGTAGTTTTTGATGGTTTATAAACTGCGATTTGGTAGTTTTTGACTTTGGAGCCGCAAGTCTTTAGCTAGTCTGGCAGTATTTTGCAGATCATTATATCTTTCTAAAATAATCCCATCCTTGTTAAATGCTTATTTCAGAGCCTAGCGACCTGACTCTCAAAATCTACAGAGCAGAATCCTACGCCGGCCTGCAGGAGTTTAAAGCAGCCATAGAGGATCTCAATGCAGTTCTCTTTCAGCTTCCCAACTGGCCTGAGGTAAAATGGCTGTTTGCATTTGTGTGAATTTTAACAGGGCAAAAGTGAGGGACTTCAGCCACAGGCACAGGTCTTAACAGAGGAGATGGTTAGCTTCCAGTGAAGTTGTAGTTTGGAGCTAAGTCAGTTTACTATACAAGCTTCAGGGCACGAACTCAAGCCTCAGAAGGCTTGTGAAAGCCAGGTGTCCTAGTGCAGCTTTGTAATCCAAGTGCCGGGGAGGCAGCGCCTGTGACTTCCAAGGTGCTGAAGAACAGGGCCAGAGGTTGGCCTCTGCTCTCTATGCCCACCTGCCTATCCATGAACACACATGTAGAGAAGAGAATCATTTCTAAAAGAAATACATAGCTTCCTGGGCATTTAGGTAAGATAAGTTCTCTCTCTCTTCCCCAACATAATATTTTTGTCGATTACTTGGGAATTTCATATACTGTATCCCCAGTCACACTCGCTTCCCAGCTCTCCCACATCTGCTCCTCCCACAACCTTGTGACCTTCCCCAAGGGGAGAAAAACAGAAGAATTGTAAGCAAATTTTATTATATGAAAAATTTTGATTGTAAAGCAGCAGCAGCAGCAAAACCTCAAAAACCCTTGTTTCCTCAGTAAAGAACAAACAACTTGTAACACAGAAAAAGACTGTACACATTCTTAAATAAAAATTTCAACATGCTGTGTCGTAAAGATGGATTCAAACTGGGCTCACCAAATGAGTTCACTAACAGAGAGAGCACAGTCCTCAAAGCCGGGAGATGCTTTGACGTGGTAGAGTTGCTGGACAGTGAATTTACATGGAAGTTGGCCTTGCCTAGGTGGCTTTTGAAAGTGCCTAGGGGTGTAATAAGATGTGGTCCATCTACCGATGCTCCTGATTGGCCTTTTTTGAGCTAGAAGTTGTCTTTTATATGACTTTCTTTTAAGGAAACCGCCCTCTGGTATTTTTACTGAAATGGTATAATATGAAATATGGTTTTCATGCTGTAGAGATGGGTTAGTGGTTAAGAGAACTGGATGTTCTTCGTGAGGATCTAGGCTTAATTCCTGGCATCCATGCGGCAGCTCACAACCCCCTGTTAGCTCCAATTCCTGGGGATCCAGACACCCTCTTCTGGCCTCCTTAGGACCCCCCCCCCCCATCCATGTATACACACATATGCAGTAAGTCTTTAAATCAGTAACTTCTCAACTGAAGCTGCATCTCTGGTTTGAGAGACATTCACTGCTCTGAGCTTCAGTCAGGCCATTTTGCGGCTCTCCAGTTCCCTGTTAGTAGCGCTTCCTTGGACTAGCAGATAGGCCTCCGTGTGCTTTGTCCTTCTCCGAGTCGCTCAGTTGCAGAGTCAGCAAGTCTGAGAGCCCTTTGTTTGGTTCCTGGGTGGTTTTGGCAGACAGCTCTGAGCATGCTGTCTTGGTGTGTGTTTTGTTGAAGGTGTACTTCAGGAAGGGGAAGGTCCTCCAGGACGCCGGGTTCCTAGGCGATGCCTTACAGCTCTTCCTCCAGTGCTTAGCGCTCGATGAAGACTTCGCGCCTGCGAAGCTCCAGGTGGAAAAGGTACGAGTTTGCCAGCCGCCACTGCCCAAGGAGGGTGACACTGGGGCCTCAAAAACCAGTGAGACGGGAAGTAAGAAAGCATTTTATCTGAGGAACAATTTGACAAGCATGTTCTTACCCTTAATGTGTTGATTCTGTTGTTGTTGGGTTTTGTATTTCTATTTTTATTTATTATTATTATTATTGTTGTTATTATTATTATTTGTGACAGAGTCTCTCTGTGCAGCCCCAGCTCCAACCTGAAAATACACTGTGGTGGGCACCTTAACTTCATGACAGAAATAGCTCACTAACAGATTAAATAGTTCTGCTTCTTTTAAAACCTCTTCCCTTTAAAATTCTTATGCTTAAGAAGCTGGCCATTCCCTTCGGGACCTTCTCAGGCTGCTTTATGCCGTCCTTTCAAAGGTTTGCCACTGCCCTCCCCGCCACACACACTTTTTTTTTCCTTGAAGTGATGTATCTTGGTTTGCATAAACATTAAAATACATTGATTCTTTCCTGATCATTAAAAATAATGTGTGCTGCAAATGCCTTCCAGAATTTAAATAGGTAAGTTTGGGTTGTTATTCTTTACCGGATAGTATATATCTTCTCTTATGATTTTATAATTTTTCTTTCAGATTTTGTGTAACTTATTGTCACCTGAAAATTTAAAGGAAGGCCTAAAGGAGTCTTCCTGGAGTTCATTACCATGTATCAAAAACAAACCTTTTGGTTTTCCTTCTGTAACAGAAGAGCCTCAGTCTCCTGGTGAGCTTAGCCTAAAGCAGGTAAGGGGTGGAAAAGATGGCCATTTGCTCCATACACCCGCCTCCATACAGCTTAGATCCCTGTTTTCCCATGACCAAGCATTAAGACCTACCTAAGTGCGTATTGCCTCCGTAGTCATGGTAACAATGTATTGTTTGCAGCTTTTGTTTTATACCAAAGTCGGTGTATTGTGTCGGTGCTCATTGACCACCATTTTAGGTCACTTAACTGTCAGCAAACTTATGTGTCTTTGAACATGCACATGGTTATAAACATTTAGCAGCACTGCTCTGAACCTCACTGTGACATCAGTCAGCTTGATATCTCAGGCTTTGTAGATGCTGACAAAAATTATTTACCTGCTTGGCTTTAGAATTTAAAAGTTCTGTTCAGTGAGCTTTAAATGCATGTTATAAGGAGTTAAAATCTCGCTTCCATTCTTTTTGTTTTCTTGACAAGAGGAATAAAGGAAAGTGAGGAAAGAGAGTTATCTTATTTGTTGTGTTCTGCAGATCGAAGAACAACCCGAGCATGCCCCAGAGCCTGTCAAAGGAAGCTTAAACCGTGCTCGGTCGGCACAAGCCATCAATGTAGCAGCCATGCCTGTCAGAGACGATGGTTTAAAGCGCGTGTCCTCCGAACCTTTACTGTCCACTCAGGGAAGAGGTGTTCTGCTGAAAAGGAAGTTGTCCCTCTTAGAACAGGATGTGGTTATTAATGAAGACGGGAGGAATAAGCTCAAAAAGCAAGGTGGTAAGGCTTTCATTCTACTCTTACCCCGGGAAGTATTGATTCAGCATGGCCTTTGAACTTGTTCCCTCAAGAGTAAAACCCTGTCTGTTTATTTGATTAGAGGCTCCCAGTGAAGACTGTGTGTTCTCATTAGCTTATGGTGACATCCCGGAAGAATTAATAGATGTCTCAGACTTTGAGTGCTCCCTCTGTATGAGGTGAGTGTGTCACATCTTATAAAGATGACTGTATTGATGTAAACATAGTGTAAATGTAGTATTCGATAAAGGTAATGTTAGGTAAGGGAAGCTCACGACATGGGGCTGAGGATCAGAAGACAGAATTCCAGCCCCAGGTGTAGCTTTTCACAATTGTTAAGAAACAAACCCCTGAACCTCAGATTCCCATATTTAGAAAGCAGGGCCTCAGTGTAGGGAGGATCTGGTTGTTCAGCCGGAGCAAGATTGCAGGAAGTTGTAGTGCTCTTAGAAATAGATTTGAGTAAGGATCTGAATTATATATTTTATGTATATCTTTCTGTTCTTACCATACTAATCATAAAGCTCTCTACCTCCTGAGTGCTGGTATTAAAGGCGTGCGCCATGACTGTCTGGCTTCCGATCTCTTTCTTTTGTGAAGCAGGGTCTAGCTGTCTAGCCTATGTTGGCTTTGAACTCATGATTGTTCTGCCTCATCTTCCTAGGTGCTTGAATTAAAATATTGGGATTAAGTATGTATTCTGCCACGCAAGGCTAGATCATCCTTTCCCTAAATCAAGTTTTTTTAAGTTAATATGCGAAGAAATGGGTTTCATCCTGGCACTTTCATACTAGTGTCATTAGAGTTTGTTTAGAGTATTCTTTTTAGTGTATTTTATGTTGAAAGGCTTCTATAAAACTATGAAGGACCGTATTTAACTTGATGAGGCTGTCTAAAAACCTAATGATAGCCAATGACATTATTTGTTCCAACTATCTTTGAATCTGCATTTACTTTGTTTGCTTTCGCTGCTCAGTTTGGATCGGCCACCGCTCATGTGCTTGGTACCCATCTGTGTCCATCTAGTGGGTGTCACAGTAGTCAGTGCAGGGCTAGGCCCCTGGAAGGGCACCTTTGTTGATTAAGATCTTTCAGAAGGCTCAGGAGGGCACAGTACAGGTAGCATCACTCTCTTCCTGTTCTCCTTCCCTGCCTAGCTTGGCCTCTTGCCTCCTCTAAGCCAGTGGTTCTTAACCTTCCGAACACCGCAACCCTTTAATAGAATTCTTCATGTTGCAGTGATCCCCAACCAGACAGTTTCTGTTGCTAATTTTGTAATTGTTATTTTGCTACTGTTGTGATTTCACAGTGTAAATATTTGATAGGCAGGATATCTAATGTGTAGCCCCCAAGGGGGTCGAGACCCACAGGTTGAGAAGCACTGCTCTCAGCAGCGCTTTAATGCTGTGGTCCATGATTCCGGAAGCTTTCCGAACGCAGAAGCCCCTGGTGTGAAAGCTAACGTGTACTTTGTATGATTTCAGGTTATTTTTTGAGCCAGTAACAACCCCTTGTGGACATTCATTCTGCAAGAGTTGTCTTGAGCGTTGTTTAGACCACGCGCCATACTGTCCCCTCTGCAAAGAAAGCTTGAAAGAGGTAAATGTGCATCTGTATCTGTTTATTGAGCTAAGTTTGGCAACATGGTTTGGCTTCTGTTCTGCTATGGAAAGAGTGACTTCATTTTCACAGTGAGGTGCATTGTCCATTTTGACTGACCAAGAGCACACAGTTTAGGAAAACAGACACTGGAGTTGGGAAGGAATAGGGCCTAAAGACCAAGCCCTTTCTACTTGGATGTTTTGTTTGTTTGTTTGGTTGGTTGGTTTTGTTTTATGGGATAATAGAATAATATAATAGTATAATATGATATGGTAGAACAAAAACGGACATCACAATTGGACAAACAAACCGAAGGAAAAGAGCCCAAGAGAAGGCACAAGTAACAGATCCACTTGTTTGCATATTCTTCAGGAATCCTATTAAAAAACAAACAAACACATAAATAAATACTCTACACTGGAGATACTATAAAGGAATTATAAGGCAGAAGGAAGAACACATAAATAAAAACTGAAAGTAATAGAATTATTTTGAAAAAGGGAAATCCCTGACACAATAGTGTGAGACAAGGAGCTGCCAGAGATACCACTGAGTTTGTTTTCTGTTGTTTGATTTTTTGAGGAAGACAAAACACAAACAAACAAAAACACAGTGCGCTGCCTGCTCAGGAGAAGGTTCAGTTTTATTGATGACACCACTGGGGGAAACGACTGCCCTGCATCTCACCAGGCTAGAGGCCTGCTCTAGATCCCCTAACCCCCAGGACGGCTGTCCTGTAGAACCTTCTGCATGGTGGAATTCCTTCCTAGCCAGTGTGGTGGTGGCTGGCCACCGCCACATGGGCTTACCAAAGCACTTGAATTGTCCTAGAGCGGCAGAGGAACTGGTTTTCATTTTGTTCAGTGAACTAAGACTTAAGAAGGCACAGCGAGCAATGCCTGCTGCACTGGGCAGAGTGGCTCTAAGAAGCAGTGGGACAGAAGAAAGCAGGCAGCCTCCTCCTTGTCGCAGAGTCAGAGATGAGCAGCCTGTAATGGGAGAGGCGGTGGCAGCACTGTCCCCTGGTCCCCTCTCTATCAGCATCTACACAAATGGCCTCAAGCCTCATGTTGCAGTGTGGACACTGCAGTGGAAATCCACAGAACATGGCTTCCTGCGGTGATTTACGGTATCGTGTACAGAGAAAAGCATCTTCCACCAGAGAAGGGGACAAAAATGAATAAAACCCATATAAGAAATCCCTATACAGAGATACAGTGGCGTGTGCTGCTATATTTCATATGTGTCTTACATAGCAAGCTGGTATGTTGAAAGCACACACATGCACAGACACACACATCCACATAACAGTATTTGCAAAGTCAAGAAGTCTAAGGTAAAGTTATTCTTGAAGGATTTAGCAGTTGTGACAACTTCTTGGTGTTTTTGGATAAAGTATACCAAACATGCAACTTTTCTCAGAGTTTAGATATTCTCTGCTATAATTGCTCGTTTTCAAAGTAACAATACATTGCTTTCATTTAGAAATATTTTGTCTTTAAAACTACTAGTAGTTTGATGGAAATCCTTTAACATACTACTAAAATATATAACCAGCTGTTTAAATATACCTATTTTGTTTCCAACTTTGAGGCTAGTTTACGTTGAATAATTTATAAAGTAAATATACGTATGTTATAGCATATAATTTGAAAATAATACTGGTATGCTCTACAGTTTTACATATTTCCTGCTTGTATTTTACTGTCCTCATTTCCCCCATTAAGTATGGTTTAAAGACATGAGCTTTGCAGCAGCTTATAAGAAAATGGGAGTATTTCCTTGTTACAGAGCTTATGAGCTATTCTGACCCTTTGTAAAAATACTGAACCTTTGCAAATTAATGATTGTAGCTTCTTGACAATATCCTTAGCTAAATTCCCAAGAGCTGAATTACTGGATCGATGGCAATGTTTTTATTAGAATCCTAAAAACCACTTGTCAGATTGCCTAGTCCCCTACAACTGCTCCAAAGATTTAGACTCTCTCCCAGTGACATAAGGCAATATTTTGTCAGCTATAACTATGTGAGCATTCATTCTTCATAAATATTTATTAATTTAACAGAAAACAGAAGACTGCTCTTACAAGTCTATAATATGTTTAGTCTCCTGCCGTCTACACACATATAGTCTAATGTAATAAGACATCAGTCCTCCCCTCCACTGTGAAAGTACTTCCAGTGTGGCTGCTGAACTTGCTGGAACTGCTGATCCTCACACTTGACCTCAACCCAAGTCATAACCCTGGGGCAGGTCTCAGCAATCTGTATTTTCATAGGCTTCCCTAGCTGACACTGAAAACACCCCTACGGTTCCCATTGTGTTCTTTATTAAAGCTTGATGGAACGGTTATTTTTGTTGGCTCTCAGGATGAAGGATGGCTTCTCTTTGTGACCTTTCTCCCCAGAGCTCTTTCTGACTAGTTGTATTTAATACATGTGTATTTTCTGTCTGTGTGCTCTGAGCATGTCCCTGGTCTTAAGCAACTTTCAGCTTAATTACATTTCTATTCACATGGCACAGTGCAAGGATGAATATGTCCCTTTGCTCTGGTAAAAACTAAAATATGCAGTGTAAGGTGAAAGAGTATTCAAGAAAGACATCGTGAAATGTGCGGTCCGATCCTGACCTGAGAGAGCTTGCGTAGACAGGAGAGAAGTGGACATTTTTTTATGAGTTACAGCAGTGATGTATGCCACATGTGGACAGCAGCATTTCAGAGTATCTAGTGTTTAGAGAGGAGCACTAGTGCACTGTTTGCACAGAAGTGGGGAGAGCATATAGAAAAAGCAGCGTCCTGGTGAAGTCGGAGTGATAGTAACATTGGAAGAAGAGCCTAAAAGGAAAATTAAAAGTGTTGAGTGGTAGCATATTGCCTGTAATGCCAGTACTTGGGGAGCTGAGGCAGGAGAACCTCAAGTCCCGGGCCAGCTTGAGCTACACAGTAAGACCTTATCTCACAGAAACAGTGACCTCACCCCAGCAACAAACCCTACACAGAGACTTTATTTCTGAAAGTAGACAAAACAGGGATTGTTTTGACTTTCTGAAATGAGGCAAGTGCATTATTTTCTTCATCCGTATCTTCATTCTGCTTCTCAGAAATTGGCTCATGTTGTGGGGGACGGCAGGGGCCAGGCTGGCTGCTGCCAATAAAAGATTTGTGCTCATGGCAGGACAGTTTCTAAACTGGGGGTGGGTTGGGGTCTTGGTTCCAGCTGCGTCTCCAGCCTTTCACACTGGAGCAGAGGCCGGTGCAGCTCCAGGGCTCCCCCTCACTCATGAAATGCAGTCGGAACTGAGTGTGTCAGTCTGTAACAAAGGCTCTGACCTCCCAATTAAACTGTGTGCCTGCTTTGTACTGTAGCAATGAGAACTAATTCTGTCTTTCAGTATCTAGCGGACAGGAGGTACTGTGTCACACAGCTGCTGGAAGACTTGATAGTGAAGTACCTGCCGGATGAGCTGTCCGAGAGGAAGAAAATCTATGAGGAAGAGACCGCTGAGCTCTCACAGTAAGCTCTTTCTGTTGATGTAACCGAGGCTAGAAAACAGCAAGAGAACCTTCACAGAGCGAGCTGCATCCTGTCCATCAGTCTAGCACAGAGGCATATTGCAGCCAACAATCAGGTTTCCCGTCTGAGTAGACGGGATCATGAAAGGTCAGTCGGCTGAGTGCCGGTGTTCTGTGGGAAGTCATGGCTGCAGCTCTTTGGACTGAAGCAGCGTGAGAGCTTATGAAGGGGTTTCCTGCTTAGACAGCAGGCTGTGGAATGAGTAAAGGTGAACTCGGTAACGTGGATGGAAACACCCAGTTTCCCACACCCTGAAAGAGGAGGAGCATCAGCCTACATTAGCAGGGATTCTAGCAGGAGAGAGCACCAATTCTCAACCTCCCTAATACTGTGACCCTTTCATACAGTCCCTCATGTTGTGGTGACCCCCAACCATAAAATTATTTTGCTGCTGCTTTCATAGCTGTGATTTTACTGCTGTTATTAATTGTAATGTAAATATCTGTGTTTTCCAATAGACTTAGATGACCCTTAGATGAAATGATTGTTCTATCCCCAAAGAGTTGTAGACCCATAGGTTGAGAGCCATTGGGCTAGACACTTGGAATGGGGTGGGACTGAAGTATGAAGGAATGCTTTAGGGGTCAAATCTTCAGTAAAGAAACCATGGGGAACATTCAGGTTAATAGGGCAAAACAAAACAAAACAAATAAAAACCACCGAGAGGCGACTTTGGGGTGTTAGCAGATGCTCCCACTGCTATGGGTCGGTCAGAGCTGGGTAGGTTTGCCTGGCTCTGCCTGCCCTGTACATCTTTCTTGTTCTTTTCTCCCGCTTCCCTTGAATATTTTTTTGGCTGATCAATTACTTGGATCTCTCTGAATTTCTTCCATGGGTTTTTACTTTCTTAACTGTTTTCCTTCTGTCAACTAAACACATTGAACTCTGCATTATGTAGCAATAGCTTGCTTCTATTTTCAAAACACAAGTAGGACGTCGGATTTCCCACATTTAAAGCGGCGTTGTGCTCGTAGAGTTGCGCTTTTCCATGTGTGCCCATGGAAAGTCTTTGCAGGCCAGTGGCCTTCAGGACAGAGTTCCTCAGCTCGCCTTCACAGCCCCCGTGAGTGATTCATCCTCCCAGGAGACTGTTCTATTGTGTAGTTTTGTGGTAGAAATACTGAGGCGAAGCCTTTGCCTCTTGATACTCAACGAGAAGGCTAGAGTAGAGGACTGCAGTGGCCCTGCCCACCTGGAGCTCAGCGGGAAGCCAGCCCGCCCTTGGGAGAATGAAAGGTGCAGAGGCATCTGGTGGGTGGAGAGCTGAGAGTGGTGGGGTGAGGCCACGGGCATCTGTGCTCACTAGCTGAGGTATTTTTTAACCGCGTTCTTTTGTCACGCATCACATGCCCTTAGGTCCTTAGTGGTCACGTAGCAGCCACAAGTAAAAGGAGCAGAAGCAAAGCTATACTCCTGGAGCGTGCTCTCCACAGGGACCATGCCCCAGCCTGGGACCATTTCCCCAGCATCCTCCCCTCCACAGTGCCGGTCACTTTAAGTCAGTGCAGCCCTGGGCCCCTAGTGGCAGTGTGGCACGCCATCTTCAGCCACCCCACGCTTTGCTTTACTCCATCCTTTACTTTCTTTTCTTTTCACTGCCAACTTACAGCTACTCCCCAGAGTGCTGTTGTGAATATTCATCTCTGCATCTGTAGGGTTGTTTCTAAAGGGAAAATTCTTGGTCCCAAGAACATGAACATTTTCTACCAAAGAACCCGTGGAGTTTCTGCTGTGGAGCCAAGCGCTTTTCTCAGCTTTCACCGAGAAAGCCAGGCTTTCTTATCCTTGCTACCTGGGCATTGTCTGGGCTCCTCTTACTGTTCATAATCTGGCAGAAGAAAGGTGTCTGTCATTTTAATTACCTGGCAAAAACATTATTTGGTTGAATTATCTTCTTAGATCATTTTAAAATATCATACTTAAGAATTTTTGTCCATTTTGGGAGCCCACTTTTTCTTAAATGTTTTATTTTTATTTTTTTTGGACAAAAGCTCTGCCTTCATTGTAAGTATTTTAAGCCAATTCTCAATATAAAATGTTAGTTATGAAAATTTTCCTTTTGATTCTTAAAAGTAGTTAGCTCTACATGGTACCTACTGTTAGAATTCAAGCTATTATAAACAAGAGAATCATCATCAGAGTTTTAGTCTCACAGATGCAGCAGTGCGAATTTGATGAAGAGAGCTGCTTCCTGTTCTAGCCAGGAATTGAGAGTATGTACTTAAAATAGATCTTTGTTGTTGTTATTTTTTACATCAATTTTTTTTTTTTTTTTTGCTGTGATAATCCTAATATAATTTTGCTGTCTGACTTGATCTGTAATAATGAAACTTCTCCTCCTTCAGCCTGACCAAGAATGTCCCAATATTTGTTTGCACTATGGCCTACCCCACTGTGCCTTGTCCTCTCCATGTGTTTGAGCCCAGATACAGGCTCATGATTCGAAGAAGTATCCAGACTGGAACCAAGCAGTTCGGGATGTGTGTCAGTGACACACAAAACAGGTAGGCTCCTCGTGAACCTTGACACTTGTGCTTACCCTGGAAATTGCTTTGCGTCGAAGGAGGCCTTGCATGCTTACGCTTAAACAGTACTATTCTCTTAAAGCTTTGCAGATTATGGCTGTATGTTACAAATTCGAAACGTGCATTTCTTACCTGATGGAAGGTCAGTTGTGGACACAGTTGGAGGAAAGCGGTTTAGAGTTTTAAGAAGAGGAATGAAAGATGGATACTGTACTGCGGACATTGAGTATCTGGAAGATGTTAAGGTATGGAAAATAATCTTTTCTGGTGCATTCCGGGCTACTGTATCCCAGGGTTTGGGACTGACATATAGGTGAAGTTCCCTAGGCACAGGAGCTTGTTCATCGCTGTTTATGGGGATTTGCTCCATTTGCCTTTCCTTTATCTTGCTGCTGAATCGTTCACCCATTGAAGAGAACCCGATGAGAATCCACAGCCTCTTCATGTTCCAGGCCCCCAGGCAGCATGGTGCCTAGGCTCTACTTATGCTTGCATATACTGTATTCACTCACGGTAATCACGTAACAGTAGCAACTGACTGAATTGAGCTTCCAGCTGATCGAATTTTAAATTTGTGAATCTCTGCCTTATTTTATGTGATTCGTTAATAATTAAAACTTACAATTCATAGGTGAAATTTTAATGTGAAAGTAAACACAAAATTCTTTAAGGGTTGCTGTGTGTATGAGGATTTTTTTGTGTGGCAGAGACAATCTTAATTATAAAATAAATGCAACTGGATGATGTTTTAAAATGGTAGAATGACCCAGGTAAGACACTGCCAGTGTATATGTACTGCCGATAGCTTTCCTAAGAGGGGTTATGGTAACTGACGACATAGACAGAGTTGATGTGACCTCCCCATGTCTTCAGAACCTAATTTACAAACTAGAATTAAAGGACCAGAAAGTGGTTGCTGTTTCAAGTATCAAATTGAAAGCAAATTTTACAAGAAAGGCAAGATGAAACATAGGTCTTACATTACCACTGTTCACTGATCTACTTTGGCCCTAGATTTCAGTCAAAATTTCTTGATTGTTGGGCCTATGCATGCTTACAAAGAACTCGTGGCGTTTTTATGACTCCAAGACTTCTAACAGCTGAAGAGAGAGTGACTGAGAATCTGTGATGTGTAGCAAAAGTGATTAAAGGCTGCTCTTGACTCTGGCCCTGTGCATTCTCCTCATACCATGCTGCCTCTCTGCTGATAAACTTCACTGGCCGGATGCAGTCTGATCTCTCTTACAAAGAAAGATGTCATGTGACAGGAAGTACAGGCAGGCAGAGCTGTGAGTTTGAGGTCAGCCTGGTCTAGATAGCTTGGGCTACACAGAGAGACCCTGTGGCAAACAAACAAAAAGATGCCATGGGTGCTATTTTGCTCTGTCAATTAGGGAAGAATATTGTATGAACTAAACATTTTAGTTGGTTGATAGTCTTTGTCTTATTACGATTGGCTAGTGGAATTGTTTGCTAAGACTTCTTTGTAAGACTCAGAAGCCTATTTTAATTTAGGTAAATTTGTGTAATGACACATCATATTTGATAGCAAAGTGCCTTGAGTATGCAGCTGAACGTATATGGTTAAAAGCATGTGTCCAATACCATAACATATTGGAGGAGTGTCTAAACTGGTGTCATGCTTAGGACACAGGGTTCTCGTCTCTGCTCATAACAATGTCTTGGCTTCTTCTTTTCCCCTTTCATATATTCTGGCATTTTGCTTTTGTTTTTGTCTCTTCTAGTCTGGAAGGTCTCAATTTTATTATTTACCTTTTTTTTTTTTCTTCTTGTGGTCGTAAATCTATTTTCTGTGATGTCTAATAAAATTTGGAGCTCTATTTAATTGTGGTAGCAACGTTACCTTAAAAAAAGAAGAGTTGCTTTAGAAGAGTCCATTTACTTCTTGGCTGGTTTGGTTTTCTCTCAGATGTCCAGCACTTTGCTCTTTTACCTATTTTTAAGCACAGCCCACAAATATATCATGTTACGTAAATTACAATTGATTTTAATGCTTAGTTTCAATTTTCACTTTAGTTTTTATCAAAAGTGAAGTGTGTGGCCTTTCGTGTTTCAAAAATCTTCCCCTTGTCCCTTTGTTGTTTTGTGTTAGTCACCTTTGAAGCATGAAAGACTGAGTCAGCCTGCTTGCTTGCTTGCTTAGTGCGGGGAAGGAGGCACATGTGCCATGGTGTTCATGTGGAAGTTAGAGGACAGTTCTCTCGGTCTGTGTGTGGTTCCCCAGCCAGGCTGTCAGTTTCTGCAGCAGACCCCTCTACCCTGTCAGCTACCCGGCAGGCACATGGCCCATGGGACAGGAACTCGGTAAAGCCTGTTAGAATGGATGAGTTCCTTGATCGTCCACCTGTGCTCTCTTAGTCTTCCCCTGGCTGGAAGATGGCTTTTATTTTACATCTGCCATTTGGTGGGCTAAAGGGTGCATGGAGGAGTTAATGGAGGGACCCATGGCCTTGGCCATTATGGCAGAAGTTGAAAATTGTGTGCATTATTCTCTGCCTTTGGATGTGCCAATTCTGGCAATTTTTTTTTTCTGCTTTTTGTTTTTCCGTGTGTTCTGACCCAGTTCTCTGGTAAAGAGTGTGTTCGTGGCTGCCCTCCTGTTACTGCATCCTGCCATGCAGTTTGTACCCAGAGTGACCCATTTTTCTTTTTATCATAGCAACTGCCCTGTTCCAAATTCATGCTGACCCTTGAACCTGAATTCATTGTCCACCTTACCTCTTCCTTTCCAGAGTGTCAGTCAGGTTGCTCCCTGCTCTTAGTGGAGATCAGGCCTTGCTCTTTACAGTGAGTCCCATGAGCCCTCTGTGGGGTAGAAATGGAATCTGTTATCGCATGAGAATGACACTGATACTCTAGCACTGACTCGGATGTTCCCTTGTCATTCCAGTGTGTGTGTGTTTGTGTGTGTGTGTGTGTGTGTGTGTGTGTGTGTGTTCTGTGGGGTTGATGCTAAGGGCTAGGAAATCACGGAGATCTTACCAACTTCTCTTTCCAGATTGAGAATGGAGATGAAATACAGAGTCTTCGAGAACTTCATGACTTGGTGTACTCGCAAGCCTGCAGCTGGTTTCAGAACTTAAGAGACAGATTTCGAAGCCAAATCCTTCAGCACTTTGGCTCAATGCCTGAGAGGGAGGAAAACCTCCAGGTAGGGTGGCTTTCCTGTTGCTACTGACAGTCTCGCTTTTCTGTAAACCTAATGAATAACCTTCCACATTTCCTTCATTTATTCTCTTTGACCCCATCTTTAGAATTATGGCTACAGTCTCAGAGCACAGGTACCTAACCTCATGTGGCCTGGCAAGGGTGCCTGTAGGAAAGAGTCCTGCAGAGGGAGGAAGGGCTTGTCCGAGGGTGTCCAGAAGGATGAGAGATTGAAAATGGGATGCTAACCTCCGTTGAACTGTGAGGCCACCATTCGTCCCAGCCCATCAGTTGTCGCTTTGACAGTTGAGAGATGTGCAGTTTTTCCATCTTTAAAAAAAAAAAAATCTTCACACCTCTCTTTTTATCTTTCATGTCTGTTCACCATTTCAGTTTGTGTTTAACACTTCTGTTACCATAAAATTATCGTTCGTGGGGGTCTTGCTCAAGAACTGGGGGTCTGCCTTAAATCTGAACCTAATTAATAATGTGATTTAGATTCTTCCTCTGTGTGGAACTTAAGTAGCAGTTGCAAAAACCGTCAGGGAGATTCCTTACCCTGGAGAATCTGACCACAGGCTCATGAAAGAACCAGTGTTAGATGGAACATTTTGAACTGGATAAAGGATTATGGTTGAAAGATGATTAATTTCATAGTGAAATAGCTGTAAATATATGAAGGTGGAGCAGTAACAGGCCCTGGCATGATCCACTCTCTCTCATTCCATCCCTCAAAGGTTGGTCTGAGTCTGTCCAGTCCCAACGAGTCTCTTATTTCAGCCTCAGGACCATTTCCAAATTAAGGATAGGACCCATGCTGTGTCCATGTTGTCAATTGTGGCATGTTTTCCCTGGCCACCTGAATCTGGTTACATGTTATAGGAGTATACTTTCATAAGACAAGGCAGAAGAGCACACTGGTAGTCTCCAGAAAGTAACTTTTCCTAAAAGTCTGGTAGTGCCCCCATCGTCCTCACTTCTCAAGTGCTGCCATGGGTTTCTGTCAGTGACACCGCAGGAGTCAGGGAAACAAAGCAGCCACCGTGTGTGATCCGGGAATGAGGGTTGGAGGAGGGACCGTGATACAACAGCTGGAAACTGGAGGGGGGAAAGTGACGCCCAACTGCTGCCGAGGTCACAGAGTCCCACCGCAGCCCATCTGGAGCAGCAGAGGGACCACGCCTCCCTTGAACCTGTGGGGAGAGTGCTACAGGTCTTAGGACCCAAGGGAGTGCCCGTGTCCCCAATGAGTCAGCAGCCATGGAGCAGGCTGTGTTCTAGAAGCCTCCGGAAAGCCGCACACTTTGCGGGAGTTCCCAGAGAATAGTGACCCATCTCCCAGTTTCTGCATCTGCTAACAATGCCATTGGCGTGGTCGAGGCTAACCTGGGGACGCAGAGAGGAAGGGATTCTGGGAGAGTCGTCTTGGGGCTGTAGAAGGAAGAGGAAGCGGACGAGCTGCAGAACTGAGAACACAGGCAGTGCCGTGGCTCCTGTCACTCCAAAAGCTCGTGTTTCCTGGTGCTCGTAAACACCAGTGCAGTGAGCCGTCAGGGAGGCTTTCCAAGCCCGCTGTGCAAATCTGTCATGGTGTCAGTGCTGCCCTTCAGCCTCTGCGAGAGCAGGAGCTTCCTTGCCAGGAAGTTCATTTTTCCTTGCCCTTGCCACGTAATTTTTCAAACTAAATGAAAAGCCTTTTTTTTTTTTTAGGATTCCAATTTTTAAGTAAGAATTTCAAGTATCAGTTAATTTTCTGTAGTGCTTTACATATCCAGGTCTGGCCCCGTGAGGCATTTGGCACTGTCTGGAGACATTTTGACTGTGGCAGCTGGACAGGTACAATTGGTGTCCAGGGTAAGGAAGGCACAGCACTGTGGCACACAGCAGAGGATCCCCAAGCCCCAGATGTCAGCCACCGGAGGCCGACAGCCAGGGCTGTGCGGAGCCAGGGCCGGGTTAGAATCCTGACCCTGTGAGCTGAGAGATTACACCACAGTTCCCAGCTTCCGTTCCTCCCCGGCTGTGGCGTGATAATCGCCATCGCCAGCCCTACTTGACTGAGAGACTTAAGACTTAGGTAAGGTGGGCTTGTTTCCATCTTGTAGTTTTACCGTTACATTAACAGTGTGAACTGTTGGTTGGTTTCAGGCGACCCCCAACGGTCCTGCTTGGTGTTGGTGGCTGCTGGCAGTCCTTCCTGTGGACCCTCGCTATCAGCTCTCCGTACTGTCCATGAAGTCTCTAGAGGAACGGCTGACAAAGATACAGCATATTCTGACTTACTTTTCTAGAGACCAATCTAAGTAACGAACTGCTTGGATCTTACTCTAAAGTCACCGTGATCCGGCTGCGTTCACGGCCGGGTTGTCCGCTGCCTTTGCACACCCAGTGCTGGTTTAAGAAATTAAGGAAACTTTTTTTTTTTTCTCTTCAACCTCCTGAATCTCGAGGATCTGCAAATGAATACCTTCAACTAGGTCCTAGACCACTAAGAACTTGCACAGAAAACATGCACTGAGTGTGTGTTAAACCTCTACATTGTGATAAACTTGCACTATGTACCATACTCTAAATGATCTAAGTATTCCATGTATGCCTGTGTGCGTGTATGCGCGTGCACACGTGTGTGTGTGTGTGTGTGTATGTGTACGTGCTATATGCATGTATGTGTATGAATGTGTGTGTGTGTGTGTGTGAGTGTGTGAGTGTATGCTTTTCTCTGGCTTTAAATTTTAAAAGACAAAAAAAAAAAAAAGCCATAGAGAGAGAACTTACTGAGGGTCCTCTATTGCCTAAGTTTACAACAGTTGTCATAGGAGTTTCCGCAGATTGAATTTGCCTCAGATTAATTTGTCCCGATGCTTCTATTTGCACAAGTATGTAAACTACGGTATAGAGTATCATTTTTTTGTTGTTGTTGGAAATCCTGCTCTTGCTGAACTGTCTTGGCCATTGACTATGACCCAGTTTCTTATTTATGTAAATACTTGCATCCCAGTGGCCGGCAGGCAGGGATACAGGACCCAGAGCCAGCCTCCAGGAACAACTGCAGACCTGACACGGTACTGTGCATCCATTCATAAAACACTTCAAACTGTGAAAATATGGTTTACATTAAAATGTACATAAAGCTAGATGGAGAATTCGATTTAGCCAGTTAGCTTGTATATTTTAGGGGGCTTTTCACATTAACTGCCCGTCTATGTCACTTAGAGTTTGACATGATAACTTGTATTTAAGGACTTCCGTAGTATATAAATCCTGTTGAGGAGCTGGAGGAGGAGGAGGAGAAGCTTAATGTAGGACTAAGCTTGTAAGGTTTGTTTTGTTTTACTCTGGTCTTGGTGCAAATGTTAGTTATGCCTTATTCAGATCACAGTTAGAGCACCATGCTGTGACATGGTTATATCCATGCTGCCCTAGCCCTTTTATAATTATTTGTTGCAGATTTGTGACTGTCTCTATTAACTTTCTTTTATGTAAGTAATTTGTACAAGTTTCTTAAAATTTTTGCTTTTGCTTATTTAATTTTGAATAAAAGCTAAATTCATATACTTTTCTTTCCCTTTGAATTGTAAAGCAATGCCAGGAAAATGTCAATACAGGGGGCAAACTATGCAGTATAGAACTCATGTGTTTGGTTTCCTCCTTTGCGACAGGAGGTTTTTAGGTTGTAGATTTGGGCGGTGGTGACGGGTGGGGAAGTGTTTGTTTGAAGCAGGGTCTCCGCACAGAGCTCTGGCTGTCCTGGAGCTCACTCTGTAGACCATGCCTTGAACTCACAGAGATCCAACTACCTCTCTCTCCCAAGGGCTGGGATGAAAGTGCCACCACACCCTGCAAGCTGTAGGCTTAAAACGCTTTATGAACAAATGATGTGGTGTCTTGAGGCATCAAGTCCAGCAACTATACTCTCAACATTAGAGTCTCCAGCGTTGTTTTTTATCCTTTAAAAAAAAACCCATATCCCTTTAGGATTAAGGTACTCTTCTTTTTAAATACCCTAAAAATACCTTTGTTGTCACTAATGAATTTAACATATGATAGGTGTCTTAAAGATAAAATTTGAATACATTATTCCCTCTCAAGACTCCTCTTTGTGGCACACACTTGATCATTTCTATCCCCGGGTCTTTAGCTAAGATTCCCCAGATAGTGTTTTGGTTTTGTTTGCAGATGAGATTTCACTGTGTGGCCCAGGTTGGCTTCAGAGCTGCTGATCTTCTGCCCCTGTCTCCAGCTGCTGTGATGATAGGCGCCTGCCTCCATGCCCGTAAGTCACACCTTCAGGGTTGACCGAAACTGTTTGGAAAACTCAGAAGTCCCCACTCAGTCCCCTCACTTGCCCGCAGAGACGGTCGGTCCACGGCTCCTGATGGTACAGGTCTACACCGCAGCTCCTTTGGAGGCTGGAGCAGGAAGATCTTGACTTTAGGCCAACGTGGGCTACATAGTAAGTTCAAGGCCAGTCTGGGCCACTCAGCCTCTGTTTGACCAACAGCATGTACAGGGCTCTGGCTTTGTTCCAGTAACAAAGAGGAGTGCTTATAGAAAGCAGCCAATGAGTGGATAGTAAATTACCCAGTGCCGGTGGTACCTTACCAATACTACTTTTATCATTACTAGTACTTTATCAGTAGGTTTTGAAGTGTAAACTAACTTTCTTGGGATTAAAAAGTCAGCTAAGTGCCTATTAAAATGAGGAATCTCTTTAAATGATTTATCCATGTGGTTCTCAAAATAGCACATGGTGGAAGTAGTCCCCTGGGTGTGAATCCACATATGTAATGTGTGCGTGTGTACTATATATGCAGATGGGCTCTGGATGGGTTCTGTACAGGTACACATATACACACGCCAATGGAAATATGTGGGCCTTGTTTATTATTCTCATTTTATGGCAGATGCTCCTATGGTAGTTTTCTTAGATATTTTAAGTCTGCGGTTTTTGTTCTTATTGTAATTTCATATGTCTTATCATTTTAGATGCTTATGTTATTATGTAAACATAATAACACTGCATCATTAGTGCAGTATTTTTGCTGAAGTGTCTAGTTTGCTAGTTTATACACGTGTCTGCCTGTCTAATTCTTCTAGGTCTGACTCAGACACTTCAGGTGGGAGGACTCTGAACTCTACAGCACCTTCCTTGTAGCTTGGCTCATGATTTTGAGGAAGTAGCTAAGATACAACCACAAACCCTGCTGAAGGCTCTCCACCTCCTCCAGCAGTTCAGACAGGTTTAAGGGGTCGAAGACTGACCACTACACACAGCTGAAATAAGTACTTGAACACTGAGCATGGTGACAGTCATCTGTAATCTCATTACTTGAGATATCAAGTTCACAGACAGCCCGGGGCCACACAGTGAGACTCTGTTTTGGGTGAGAAGCTAAAAGTTTCAGTCAAGGGAAGGAGATTAGCTGGAGTGAGCAAATGGCTGCTTTCTCCCAAAATTCAAATAATGAGGAAAAGGAAAGAAATGAAGACTGCATTGTGAAATCAGAACCTCAAGATTGGCAAATGCTTTTGAGGATATTTGAGATGTAAGGGAAAGCTGGCATGTTAGACCAGAGGAAGTCATGGCTTTGCAGAAGTAGAGAACTGTAGGCCAAGGGCAAAAAGCTCCAGGGAATCCCCAGAATTGGAAATGATCTTGGGAAACTCCCATAGGGAGGCTGGCTGTGATTTTCAACTTGGCCCCAAACCAGCTATGCTATAGATAGAAACAGCAGTTGTTCTTAGGCCTTGGATGTGAGAATTGGGCCAGAGTAGATTCCCCAAACCTTACGTAGCAATTAATCTATAGGATCAAAAATCTTTACTCACAGGCAAGCTGCTAGCCTACCTCGAATTGGACAGTATGTTCCTGAATGCTCCGTGGTCACAGAGCTAGGCTGCTTTCACTGCTCCAACCAACCTTAAATGGTTTATCTCAAACAACAAAGAATAATAGACAAGCGAATCCTAGAGGTTTGAAGATAATGAAGACAGCAGTGTGCTGATATTGAGATGTTGCTGTCCTCCCAAAGATGGGAGAACTGAGACTGTTTCTCAGTCTCTGCCACCATTAGGAACTTCAATAACATTCAACCAATGAATCAGTCATCAAAGTGAAGTCTGTAGTTGAGCAAAATAGAAGACCAAGTGCAGCTAATGAATCAGATGCAGCATCTTCCCATGACATGATATAGAGTCCATGAGAATAGGAATGTGAAGGATAACAGACATGAATAATCGATAGAAGATCTTTTTTTTTTTTTTTTTAATATCTGACCAGCTAAGAAAATTTCTTACTAGTAGAAAGAAAGAGGTAAGGACTTTTCTAAGAGTCATGTTGACACTCTTAGGAACCTGATTTATCCATGCAGAGAAAACCTACTAAAGACTACATACACAGGTAGACCAAAGTAAAACCATAGTGATAACTCAGCCATCTAGGATTGACCAGTGGTGAATGACAGACCCAAGGACACACATTTAAGGACATGGGTTTTCTGCCTAAGTCAGTATTCAGATGTCAGTATCTAAAAATTGTTAGGATTGGCATGGCGGCTCAGCTAGTAAAGACAGAAGCCATCAAGTTTGCTGACCAGAGCTTAATCCCCAGGACCCATGTGGTAGAAGGAGAAAACTAATTCCCACAAACTATCCTCTCACTGCCATACATATGCTGTGGCACTCTCAGGCCCACACACATACATGATTATAAATAAGTGTTCAATTTTAAAAATATATATTATTTTTAAAGATACTTAGGCTGCCAAGTAATAAACAAGGTGTCTTGAAGGCCTGACTCTTGATTGCATTTGTCTTTACAGACATTTTTTTGGGGGGGTGGATTGGAGGTGTCTACTATTTAATATTTCAAAAGAATATATGCCTAGTTTCAAAATGTGGTAGGTATGCTGGATAGTTTTATGTCAAGTTGACACAAGCTAGGGTCATCTGTGAGGAGGGAACCTCAAGAAGATGCCTCCGTAAGATGGTTGTAGGCCTGAAGGGCATTTTCTTAATTAATCATTGACGGAGGATGTAGCCCATTGTGGGTGGTAGACCTAGGCTGGTGGACCTGGGTTTTACAGGAAAGCAGGCTGAGCAAGCCATGGGGAGCAAGTCAGTAAAGCTGCTTCCTGCCTCTCCATGCATGGCCTCTGCATCAGCTCCTGCCTCCGGGCTCCTGCCCTGTTTGAGCTCCTGTCCTGACTTCCCTCGATGGTGAACAGTGATGCGGAGGTGTAAGCCAAGTAAACTCTTTCCTCCCCAACTTGCTTCCTGGTCGTGATGTTTCATCCCAGCAGTAGTAACCCTGACTAAGACAGTAGGCATCACAATTAGCCCTCAGAAAAGTTCTGTAAGGAAGGTGTTCCTGTCAGGCGAAAAACCTCGAAGGCTGAGTACAGTGACTTAAGTGCCTGAGGATTTTGGGGTTGTCATGGGACCAGGTCAGCTCTGAATCCAGACAGACTCGTTCAGACCAAAGAGCGAAAGCTCCAAACCGCGATTGGTGGCACAGGCCTTACGTGTGAAGGGTGCATATTACAATTATGGAGTTAGGATGATTGTGAACACTAGTGGGAGATGCTCAAATCAGTTTCATCCCTGTATTTTCGGGACTAGGGTAAATTGAAAATCTTTGTAAATGGTGATAGTTGGGAAATGTATCAAGATCGTTAAAATGTTCCTACGCTAGAGCCAATAGAATTTGGGAGGGGTTGAAGTAATTTAAGAATAAAGCCACATTCATGATAGGTGGGATATTTTCTTTGGCTCTAGAACAGCAAAGACAATTAACACTTAAACAAACATTTAAACAATGAGAAACTTAAGTAGAGTTCAATCATTAAAATAGCTAAAGAGATGGATGTATATGATTCAGTTTTTCATTATACCGTAGTTACTCCACATCATGTAACGCAGAGATTAGAAAATGGGATACCAAATTGAAGTCAGTAAGATTTGGAAGCAATTTATTCTTGTGCAGTCTGCCCTTTCTGTGGGAAACTCTGCCCTATGAAGGTAACTGGGTTTTAGGATCTAAGATTGTGACCATTGTGTCTAAGCCTATGCATTGTGGTTGCTGATAAGTTTATTGTGGTTGAACGACATAAAAACTAGATGACTAAGAATCGATTGTCTGTATGCCTTTAGTAATACTCTCGGGGAATTTAGTGTCATCTTGCTATAGCTTCATAATAGGAAATACGAAGAGGAGTCAGTATGAAGAAATTATAATAATGAGGATGCTAAACCATGGAGACCAGAACATTCTTGCTGTTAGATGTAGATAATGAACAAGATGCAGAAAGGGAGCTGATTTTGTAGTATGGTATTTTTACAACCTAATTATCGTCAGAGCCATAGACTATGAGATATTCTAACTCTTCAGTGGCCGTATATGAGGATGTCACTTCCTGTAACAGGAAAGGTTTCAGTCCCAGATTCTCTTTCTTAAAATAGAGTTAAAGACAACAAATATAAATCCTCAAAAGGAACAGCAACTACTAACACGAGGTGGCCATGACTGCCGTGACTAAGACTGCCAGATGAAGCT